CAGGGGCCTCAGATCAACAAGGGTAATATGAGCATGTGTACTTATAGGAGGGAGGTTCAGGACTCACCTGAGACACACCTGGAAGAACTATCAGGTAACAGGGTGGCACTGGGGAGAACAGGAGTCAGGAAATGTCTCTTCATGGTGCCAGCTGTGTGTGCAGTGAAATCATGGGGCCTTGGGGTGACTGCACCCCAGACAGATAGGAGAACATCTGTCCAGGAAATATTTGTGATCCTCACTCCACTCTTGGACACACTCCTTCTGGTCTATTGCATGAACATGGCACTGTCCTTGCTCTTGGGAGTTTCTGTATTGTGGATGGAGCAGAGCAAGAGCATCGCTGGTTTTCAGACACAGCAGATGGTCCTCACGAGTCCCTTGTGTGTTGTCTCATCTATTTGAAAGCTGGACACCATTCACAGGTTCCTTGTCTGGATTGACAACGTGACCCAGTGATGGCTGAAGTGTGATAAGTGCCATTTGACTGTGATGCTTTTCAATGAAGTTTTGGTGTGAGTTCAAGGGTCATACTAGATTCATACAGCAGCTTTCCCCTTGAATGAGGATGTGAAGGCTGCAGCTGCAGCAGCCACTCCCAGGTCTCATGTTAACAAAAGGAGAACAATGTCTCCATAAGGCGTGGTTGAACCAGAGAATAAGCCGGATCTGGGATCTCATGGAATGGGTGGGTCTCTGTGGAAAAGCCATCTCCCTCCAGAGTTCTTGTAGGATAAAAAAATGCCTTTTGTATTTGCTGTGCATGTAAAAGACCTGTCATTTCCTGGCTATTGGGAAAATGATTCATAGAAATCAATTCATTAATGAAAATGATGGTAAAGATGAGCAACCAGGTAATTAATATCAGATGAAAAATGACCCATAGGTGTTGAGTGATGACAGTCTGGAGGGGCCCTTTGGAGCTTGTCAGGAGAAAAGATGGAAAAAGTAGTAGGAAGTGTCTCCAGACACACTTGATTCAGTTTCTGTCTGATGATGCCAAGGCCAATGCACCCTCACAATCCTGGACCGTCAAAACTTATCTAACTCCATATATGTATATCTTTTTCTTTTCAAAAACAGGGGTTCCAGTTGGGGTTTTTGGCCCCACCCTTGGATCTGCACAGAGCCAGTCTGCAGGGGGACATGCTCCCTTTCAAGGCCGGTGGAGAGACACTGGGCAGCATCTGAGAGTGGTGTGTTCGGGCCAGAACCCTCTCCAGGCACAGGGATCTGAGGCTGCAGAGCCCACATGCCACCATAAGGTGGGCACAGGGACCTCTCTTGTGAATGCTTGTTGGGAGAGTCTTCTCGCGCTCCTGGAGCGGAGCATGAGGTCAGACAACCTGAGCATGTGCTAAACATGACTGACCTTCAGCTAATTTCCAAGCCCATAGGAACCAAAGCACCCTGTGCAAAATGAAATTACTTGGGAAAAAACCTTTCCATGTCGGGGCTGATTTTGGTCTGACTAATGAAACCCTGTCAGGCTTTCACTTTACTCTGGCCTAGCTTTCCTCCCTTTTCCTTTCACTGCCATAAGCCTGTCTTAGCTCCAAGATGGTGGAGACAGATTTGAGCCTTGAGTCACCTGTGTCCTTGTGGCCTCAGTTTCAGGTGCTTGTCTTCCTTGTTGTTAATCCAGAGTGTAGTGGAAAAGCTCCACACCTCAGCGATGTCTTTCCTATTCTCCCTATTGCCCCAACACTGGGGTGTCTTTCTTAGTGAGAACCATCGAGGGAGAAAAGGAGGTGGGGTTTAATGTGCAGGGCCCATTCCCAGTGCACCTACACTTGCCTGGACTCACATCTAGTAGTTCCTGTGCCCTGGGTGTCCCCTTCCTTCAGCCTCATCCTCAGTGTCTCCTGAGCCTGGCTGAAAGATGTATGGTGGTGATTTTTGAGAAATGAATGAACACCACCCTTCCCCTAATCTTGGGAGGCACAACCCCTCAGGATCACACAAAACAGTGAGCACAGTGGGGTCTACCCACAATACATTCCCCCCAGATCATGAGATTCCTATCTCCACAGGCAGCCCTCACTGAGTTCAGAGTAACAACGAGGCTTGTTCCAGAGCCTGGAGGTGCATGAGGAGAGGTGTCCAAGCCATGGTGGGGTCCCTGATCCTGTTCCCTGAGGCCTGGCAGGTTTCCCCTTCTCCCCCAGGCCTGTCTCATCCCCTGTTTGAGAGAGCTGCTGGGTGTGCAAATCAGCCAGGCCTGGGCTGCTGCTTGGGGGGCTTTGTGGGTTCAGAAAAGACTCAGACTCAGCCCCCAGAGACACAGAGTGGTGGGACACTTCTCTGGAGTCTCCACCCTCAACTCAGGGGTCCTCCTTCCCTGCTGGTCTCATGGTCTGGCTGAATCTCCTCTCTTAGACTCTGTCGTCTTTTTTCTCTGGGCGGGTCTTGCCACAGCAGAGCTCAGCTGATGTCTGTGTGTTCTGATCCTGTTCTGGAACTGACATTTCCAGGCTGAGATTGGGTCAGATCCTCCTCTCCCCACAGCCACTGAGCAGCAGATCCTGAATGAGGATCGTTCCTCACTCGCACACACTCATGAGACATTGATCCATCATTTCTCTTGCCTGGGCGAGTGGGAAATACACTGGGCTGTGCCTCAGTACCCTCGTGTGCACTCAGGTCACATGGAGATCACGGGGTCCAAAATACTGTGTGAGAGTGAGGCCTGGAAAGGAATCTAAGAGCTGTGCCCCCTGTGAGATCACTATAATCCAGTGTGTTTTGCTGATGAGGTGAGGGTTTAAGTGACAAGCTGTCTTCATTTGTAATCAATTCAACATAAGTTTATCAAACACCTGCTGTGTCCAGCTCTCGTCCAGGGCCTGGACAGTGAGGTCATTTTAGCAGGACTGAGCTATGTGGAAGAACAGAAATGTCTGAATACGAGCCAGAGAAACAAGCCATTTCGATAAGCCCCAGACCGCAGCCATGGAGTCTGAAATGGGGACATCATTGACAAGGGTGATCCCTGTCACTTAGGTTTTAGCTCCTGGTGGCTGCTGCTCCCCCTGTCACAGCTGCCTGGAGGCTGGAACATCAGGATGCAGGTGGCTCTCTGCTGCCCCCTGGTGGCTCCCTGCTCTGGGGGCAGCAGGCACAGAGGCTTCCAGTGTTCAGATTTGGATTCAGAAGCTGCAGTTCAGGAGGGGATTCCCTGAGACATGAAATGCTAGTCCCGTGGGTGAATTACCCTCTCCGTGGCCCCTATTTTTCACAAGACTAGCCACAGGGTGTTCAGTTGATCACATGGAAAACAAGCATGAACGTGGCCCTGGGGGAAGAAAGGGCTGGGGCTAAATGAGATCCTGCATGTCACCGTCAGGTCGTGGACTTGGCACTGGGGACACCTTCCTGGGGCAGATGCCAGAACCTGAGAACGTAGGTGACAAATGGCTGGTGGACGCCACTGCAGGTGGTGCCCCAAGACCTGCCTCTGGGGTGGGATCAGCTGGCAGGAGGTTTATAGGGAGAGTGCTTGGGCCACCCCAGTGCCAGAGATGGGTGAGGGCAGGATGCGCCGAGGGAGGGCTCAGCGGGACCTTCATCCTCAGAGATCCCACAGGACTCTGCTGCTTGGCTGCCCCTTTGAGCCCTCCCAGGTGGCTGCGTGTCTGGTCTTCAGACCCTCGCACTCATCAGGCTTGGAGGCCCGACTCTAGGGCAGGGACATGGCACAGGTGGAGGTGGCGCCCTTCATGGGAGGGCTGGTGCACGATGCCAGGCTGTCTGCGGGCAGCTCCCCAGCAGGTGGAGCAATGACTCCTCCATTCCAGAAGGGATTTGCTGCTGCTACAGACTGTCCACCACACCAACCCTCTTGAGATCTGGTGGTTTCCAATTCTTAGCGTTCAGCAAAAGTGGAAGAGCATGAAAACTGTCAGCTAATAGACTGTGGACAATAAAATGTGTCCATCGATGACCAAGATTTTTGGCATGAAAGTGGGAGGAGCTCAGGTCGGTGAGAGACACTGTATCACACAACTCCTGCTTACAAGACTGAGCTTTCTCTGAGTCTCATATGAAAGTGAAGCAAGAACAGACTGAAGTCAGATCCTGCTGCATTCTACAGAAATTTCAGTGACAGCAGATCAATGAGCCAACACTATACTATAATTATTTATGATGCTCTTAATATTTTTGTTGCTTTGATTAAATTTTGCTACTGAAAGTTATGCTGATATCACTAGGAGGAAGAGAATCAACGAACACTCAGAATCCCAGGGGAGAAAACACTTTTTTAATTGTCTATTTTGATGACAGATTTATAAAGGCATAATAAATGAGATTTCCAGTTATAAAAATATGCACAGATCAAGTGACCAAGAAGTGTAGTATGGACATAGAGCTCAAAGAGGAAAGGAGAAACAGTTGTGCATGATAGGCAAGAATTTTTGAAAAGGAAAGAGTGGCCCCCACACCTGATGATATTTGCTTCCGTTCGCTGTGTGTAAGGGAGTGATGTGAAAGTTTTCTATGAAAATGCTCAGATGTCAACCTACAAAGGAGCAGGGAGGCTGCTGCCCCTCCCTTCTCCTCCCAGGGCGGTCCTTCTCCATAAAGCAGGCCTTGGGCTCCAGTGCAGGGTGATCCTGAACTAATAAGAATGACCACGAGAGTCAGCGGCCACCCAGAGCCAGACACTGTCCTTCCTGAATCTTGACTCCTCTCAGCACCCCCGGGACAAGTGAAGACAATGAGCCTGGAGAGGCCTTGGCTTTCCAGAAGGCCTTGGCGCGAGGGTCCTTGTGTACCAGGATGCTGATAAGAGTTTCAGAGCTCAACAGACTCCCACCCTCTCTAATTCAGCAGGGGAACAGCAGCCCTGAGAATAAAAATCTGCTCAGAGTCTCCCAGCCCAAAGGGCTACCTTAGGAGGCCTCTGAGGTCTGTGGGAGTGAGCACAGGCCTGGGAGGGAGGTTCTTGTCCCACTTCCCCATCTGTCTGTGTCACAGTGAGTAACGCCAGCTGCTCCCACTGCCATCACCTACTGCACAGTAATAGTCAGCCTCGTCCTCGGCCTGGGTCCCGCTGATGGTCAGGGTGGCCGTGTTCCCCGAGTTGGAGCCAGAGAACCGGTCAGGAATCCCTGAGGGCCGCTTGTTATCCTCATAAATGACCAGCACAGGGGCCTGGCCTGCCTTCTGCTGGTACCAGTAAGCATATTTACCACCAATGTTGTTTCCCTGACACGTCATCCTGGCCGTCTCTCCCAGAGACACCGACACTGAGGAAGGCTGAGTCAGCTGATAGGAGACCACAGAGCCTGCAAGGGAGAAAGAGAGGGTGGGCGAAGATGTAAGTCCTATTCGCAGGAGACCCCCACGCTCCTTAGACTAAGGACCCAGGATTCTCTGGTTCCTAGGTGCACCTTCCCTTAGCCTAGTCCCAGTGTCCCATGAGCCTGGTGGTGAATGGAGGCCTCAGCCAAAGAGAAAACACTCCCCTTCTCCTGGCAGCTAGAGGCCCTCAGACTCACACCAAATAGCCTTGGTGGCTCAGTACCCAGGCTCCCACCCTGCACAGGGTCATGAGCAATCTGGCCCTAAGGCAGCCCTTGCTGAGCTCAGAGTCAAGGCCAAGCTGGTCCCAGAGCCCTGGAACTGGGGTGCAGTGAGCCTGTTAAGATACCTGTGCAGTAAGCCAGGAGGCCCAGGAGGAGCGGGGTCCAGGCCATGGTGGGGTCCCTGATCCTACTCCCTGAGGTGAGCCTAGGCAGGTTCCAGCCAGGCCTGTCTTATCCCCTTGCTGGAGAGAGCTACTGGGTATGCAAATCAGCCAGGCCCAGCTGCTGCTTGGGGAGTTTTGTGGTTTCAGAGAAGACTCAGCCTCCAGGGACTTGGGGAGGGAGGGGTGATTTTTGAGTCCCCAACTCAGCTTAGGGATCCTCTTTCTCTGCTGCCTCATGGTCTGGTTGAATCTCCTCCCCTAGTTCTGTCCTGGCCTCTCTGCTGCGCAGCTCCTTCCCAAGCAAAACTCAGTGTGGAGTATAGTTTTCTGATTCCCATCTGTAGGTATGTTTATGAGGCTGAGTTGGGCCACCCCAGGTGCAATACCCGAATATAGTAATGGAATATACCTCCTCCCTTGAACAGCTCATCTGGAATCATTGATGATTTTAAATTTTCCTCCAGGTTCCTGAGGCCAGTGATAGGGGCTGAGCTTCAATATCCCCAGAGTGTGCTCAGGTCAGGTAGATGTCATGTGCTCCCAGCAAATGCTTGGAGCCTCTGTGCAAACTCTAAGAGCAGCTGAAATGAATGTTCACTCAAATTAAGTGTATTTAATTGCTTGGGAAAGGTATTTATTAATAAATATCTCAATTTATAAACAAGGGAAAAAGATTATGGGCAACCATGGAGTCCAGGCTCTTCTCCAGGAGATGGATGATTTTATCTGGTAGGATAGGAATGTCTTCTAGTAAAGGGAGGGTGGAGCCTCTGTGACCACAGAGCAGGCAGGGGTGAGGACAGTGGCTTCATATTAGCTGGACTGGGCTTGTGTGTGTTTGGGGGGAAAATTACTGTTGTGTCTGAACCTGTGCCAGTGAAATTGGCCATTCTACAAGTTCAGATCAGCTCATGGAATCTGAAGAGGGCACATGATGGTCAAGGATGACACTGTAGGAAAATGTCACCCATTTACTCTGGTGTCCAACCCTCCTGTCACAACCTCTAGGGTGCTTGAAACACCCTGACACATGTGGCTCTTTCCTGTCCCCTGGTGGCCACTCTGCACTGGCTGCAGGAGGCTCAGGGGCATATCTGTTCAGGTGAAGATTCAGAAGCAGCTTCTCAGGTGGTGATTCCCTGATACGTGGGCTCCTGACCCAGGGGTGAATCCCTGTTCCATATGTGGCCTCTGTTTACCTCAAGATCAGGTATAGAGGCATCAAATCAATAAGGAAAATATGAGCATGTTTATTTAGAGGAAGAGATTCAGGACCACCTGAGACTGCACTGCAAGTCTGGACTGTCAGGTCATAGAGTGGCACTGGGGAGAACAGGAGTCAGGGAATGGCTCTTCATGGTGCCAGCTGTGTGTGCAGTGCCATCATGGGCCTCGGTGGTGACTGCACTCAAGGTAGACAGGAGAACATCTGTCCAGGAAATATTTGTGACCCCCCCCTACTTCAGTCTTGCACACATTCCTTCTGGGGTCTAAGGCATGAACATGACCCTGTCCCTGCTCTCAGGAGTTCCCATTCTCCATTGTGGATGGAGGAGAGTAACAACACAGCTGGTTTTCAGACACAGCAAACGGTCCTCCCTAACCCCTGTTTGTTGTCTCATCTATTTCAGACCTGGACACTGTTTACAGGTTCCTTCAGTCTGGATCGAACATGTGGACCAGTTCTGGCAGAAGTGTTGTAATTGTCCTTTGAATGGGATTCCTTTCAATGAAGCTTTGCTGTGAGTTAAAGAACGATACTAGACTTATACAGCAGCTTTCCTCATGAATGAGGATGTGATAGCTGGAGCTGCAGCAGCCACTCTGAGGTCTTATGTTAACAAAATGAAAAGCAATGTCTCCACAGTGGGTTGGATGAAGCAGAAAATAAGAAGGATCTGGGATCTCATGGAATGGGTGGGTATCTGTGGAACAGGCATCTCACGCCAGAGTTATTGTAGGAGGAAAAAAAGCCTCTTGTCTGTTCATTCTTCAGGCTGTTTTGTAATTGCTTTCCATGTAAAAGACCTGTCCTTCCCTGACATTGGGAAAGTGGTTCACAAAAATCAATCATTTATTTATTAAAAATATGTACTTACTTTTCTTTTTCTTACACACACACGCACACGCACACACACACATCTTCTCTTTTTCAAGAACAGTACCCTGAGTGTGGCTCTTGGCCCCATGCCTGCATCCACACAGCCAGTCTGTGGGGGGGACATGCTTCCCATCAAGGACAGTTGAGAGAGACCGGGCAGCATCTGACTGGTGTGTTGGGACATGAATTCCTGTCCAGACCTGGGGATCTGAGGCAGCAGAGCCCAAATGCCACCCTGGGCGGGTGCAGGGACCTCTTTTATGGACCCCAGGGTGGGAGAGTCTTCTCATGCTCCTGAGCAGAGATGGTGTCAGACAGCCTGAGCATGTGCTACACATGACTGCCCTTCAGCTAATTTCTAAACCAGTTGATACCAAAACACCCCTACTCAAAACTAAATTATTTAGGGAAAAAACCTCTCCATGTCTGGACTGATTTTTGTCTGACTAATGAGATTGTGTTAGGCTCATACTTTATCAGCCCTGACTTTCTTCCTTTCTTCCATCACTGCCATAAACCTGTCTTAGCTCCCAAATGGGGGAGGCAGATGTGAGCCTTGAGTCCTCTGTGTCCTTGTCTGCCAGCTCAGAAACAACTCTTTCTATTGTCAGTAGTCAGAGTCAGAATATTGGCTTCCATTGTGCTGGCAGTGAGACCATTGCTCTGCAACAGGGAAAGTTCTGGGTTTTCTGAGGATGCAGCCCGTGACACACTCAGATGTCTATGCTCAAATCCAGTTCAGTCCCACTGTGACAGGTTTTCATGAGAGCTTTGGGGTGATGATCAGTGTGTCATCAGGGGGAATCTGCAGGTGACACACAGTTCTCACAACAGAGCAACATAGAGGGGACCTCCAGGATGAGCCCTATTTTGACTCAGGTGGGTTGAGTCCAGCCCTTTAGCTGATCCTGTTGGGATCCTGAGGTGAAGACAGGGGAGTGGTCACCTACCCCCCTCTTTGTACGGGTACCCATAATGTGGCCATGTGGGGATAAAGGTGCTGCCTGTGCATCCTGTCCTGGGCATCTCTCAAAGGTCCAATAGTAACAGCAGGGTGGCGTGTGTACTGGACAGCAGAGACCACACCAACATGAACACTGATGCCCGGGGTGCAGTGTTACTCAGGGGCCCAGAAGGCGTTTCCCTGGAGACTGGATCAGGTGCCCGTGGCCTTGGCATCATATGAGGTCGCACACTGGTAAAGAGCCTCCATAACTTTATAGACCAATATTTGAAGAACGGAAAGGTGATTTTTGAAACAAAATGTCAGAAATGGGATTTATCTCTCTTGTGGGAATGTTTTGTAAAATTTTCGCAAGTGTGAAATTTTGTCAGACTTGAATGAAATACATTCCACCTTTTGCATCTACATCACTTATTTTGAGATATAATTCAAATACATTGTTTTAACCATGAAAGTCAATATAAACAGTAGGTTTTGGTATCTTTACCATGGTGCTATGATCACTACAATCAGTTTTCCATAATTTTAACACTAAATGAACCCCATCCTCCAGTTCCTGCCTCCAGACACCCCAGTACAAAGCAACCGTGGTAAATTTCTCTTTCTTTATATTTCTCTGTTCAGGGCTTTTATACAAGTAGAGCCGTGTGGTATGTGGTTTTTTTTTTTTTTTTTTTTTTTTTTTTTTTTATTTTTTTTTTATTTTTTTTTTATTTTTTTTTTTTTTTTTTTAGATTTTTTTTTTTTAAATTTATTTTAAGGGCATGTTTATTTATTTATTTGTTTGTTTGTTTGTTTGTTTGTTTTATACATGCACTGGGTACAGTCAGAAGCGCGGGAGGGTGAGAGAATTCACCAGAGCGGGGAACAGAGCAGGCAGAAGGACCGAAGTACACTGCTGAGGGGAGCAGCGGGCCGCAGGAGAGGTCTGCGCGCCATGTGGGACCCTCCTCTGGTGGCTGGGGAGCAGCCGGGGATCGAACCGGCGCCGCGGAGGCTGCGGGCAGGTTCGCAACCCAGCGCTCAACCGCTGCGCCACCGGGGAGGCCCGGTATGTGGTCTTAATGCTGACTCCTGTCATTGCACAGCATCTCCTGGCTTCAGTCCCACTGGAGCATGGAGCAGGATTTCATTCCACTTCATGGCTGAGGAATATTCTATGCCTTGGACACCCCCTGGTCAGTTGATCCATTCATTCATGGACAGATTTTGGGGTGTTTCCACCATTTGGTTATTTGGAACACTAATCCTGCAACAAACATTTTATATGCATATATATATTTGACATCATTCTTTATGTTTGTGCAACGCATGCTTTCTCCTCTCAGGTGTAGTCCCCGTGTACAAGAAACATTTTTACACAACTTTTCTGTGGGTATATGTGTTTTCATTTTTTTTGGGGGTCTAAGTTGTGAACTGTGTTTTTGGACCATATGTTACCTTCAGAATTAGTTATTGGGGCGATTTCCAGACTGTTTACCAAAGTGGCTCTACCTTTTCCATCCTGCTATGTGTGAGGGTTTCAAGTCTTCCAAATTCATGTCATCACTAGTTATTATCTGTTTTATCCACACCAATTTGTGTTAAATTGGTTTTTAATTTTGGTTCTGAATTGCATTTCCTTAATGACTGATAACAGAGAGCACATCATGAGCTTATGGCTGTTTGCACATTTCCCCACAGAAAGATCTCCTTACTATGACTAGCTCTCTCACACCGGTCATGTTCTTCTGTCCCCCATCTTCCTGGTGCTCTGTGATTACCTGGACCATCACTACCTTTTGGGTCTTGAGGGTTAGTCTTGGGCTGGTGATGAGTGTCCTTCTGGATTGCACTTCCTGTTTCCCCAAGTTGTGTGCTGAGTTGAGTCCCTTCATGCATTTGCCACCTTGTGCGTATCAGCACACTGGCACTTAGGGTTTGACCCAAGCCCCAACTCAGG